GCAGTGACTATCCTGGGAGCATCTCAGGCTGCGTTTCGGCAGGGAATCTTTTTTGAAGTGTTGGGTGAACTTTGATGAGCTGGTGGGTGTGTAGACTGCCCTGGGAAGATTGGGAAGAGCTGCACATGGGCTGCTTTCCTTTCTTTGGGGAGGTTGGGTCATTCCTATCCTTACTGCCCGAAGGGCTTGAACTTACTGTTGGCCAGCTTATGCCCAGCTGCTTGATGTTGGATGCTGCTTTCTGGCTGCCTGGTGTCGCTTCGGCCAGTGTTCCCATAGCTCCTGCTCAGTTGGCCTTGTGCTCACCACTCAGTGCTGCAGTTACTTGGGTCTCATGGCCCACTGGACGCTCATGGCCCTGTACGATAGGGCCTTCATCCATCTCCGCATCACTCACTCCTGGCCAGGTCTTCCTGAAAGAAGTGAGTGCTTCCGAATAAGCGCTGGGGACTTAGACTTAACTAAGCATAGGAGAGAGGGATTCAGAGCAGTGTCTTCAGTGAGCTTGGGGCTTAGCCATGAGGATTGGCCTCGCCCTGGTTTTAAAACCTTAGAACTACTGTTGGATTTGATGCTAGTCAGCCCATTGCCTTGCAGCCCCGTGATGCTGACATTTCTATTTTGTCATCAGGAAGTATGTTTCAGCCATTGGTGAATATTTTGATCAGGGTTTAACAAACTAAGCCCATGGGACAAATCCAACTCAACACCTGTTTTTGTTAATAAAGTTTTATTGGGAAACACTCATGCTTACTTGTTCATGTGTTTTGTGGCTGTTTGATACTACTGTGGCAGATGAGCAGTTGTGAGACTGCTACAACCACAAAAGCTGAAGTATTTACAACCTAACCCTTTACAAGAAAAAGTCCTGACGTGTTTGATAAATGGATGATAAATGTCCTCAGTGCGTAGCTCACGATTTTGTGGTGGCTCTGCAATGTGAAGCCGTGGTAAAGGTGCGGTCTGTGCATTTAGGGTTTGAAAGGCCCAGTCCCTTGCCCAGCAGTGGAGCAGCTGTAGGCAAGGCACTTTGGCGCTTTGAGATCTCTTGCGTTCAGTGTGAGAACACCTTGGGGCTTCTCAGCAGGCCTGCAGCTCACTGCGGGCACCCTGTGTAATAACTGCCTGTCTTTTTCCCAGGAGGAGGAGGCCAAGAAGCTGGTGAGTGAGGCCATTGCAGCTGGCATCTTTAATGACTTGGGGTCTGGGAGCAACATTGATCTGTGTGTCATCAGCAAGAACAAGCTGGACTTCCTTCGCCCGTTCTCAGTGCCCAACAAGAAGGGGACCAGGTGAGTGCAGGGTTGGTGTTCCAAGGAGCCTGACTGTTCTGAGTCCTTCTCCCTGTATCCCAAGCTAGCCTTACACACAGAGCTCCGAGCCAGGATTTGCGCCATGACAGCAGGCCACTGCAGGGTGTGGGGAAGTGATTGGATCCAGTGTGCTGCCGGGAGAGATGGGTGAGCCCTGGCGAGTATTCTTGGGCAGTGAGCTGGGGAGCAAGGATTCTGAAAGAATTCGTACCACAGCATGGAGCTCTGTGAGATGTGTATTTTTCCTCACCCTGGTCCAAGACACCAAAAAGGTTCTGAGCTAGTGGCTGGAAGCATCTCATTGTGGCCTTGAGCTGACCATGTTCACAACACTAGAGGGAGTCGCACCACCAAGCTGGGGCACGCACTGTGCCAGTGGCTTGTGGCAGTGCAGGCCTGGTTCAGGGCGCTGGGGTAAGGGTCTAGCTGATTTAAGGAACAGGTAGTGACAGATGTGTGCACAGGTCCTCAGCAGTTCCTCATGGGTGTCCAGCTGGTGGGCCACCCTGTGCCTCCTGACTGACCTCTTCCTGGAGTGCATGCAGCCTAAGATGTGGCTCCTGAGTTCTGCTTTCCCGCCTTCACTGGAGTGAGTGTGCAGTGCCTGTGGTCTCTGCCGGGGTGGAGAGGCAGCTTCTTCCACTGAGCGCTCGCTCGCATTCCACACTGCAGATTGGAAGCTCCGGGACTCCCTGAAGGAAGAACAGGGGTTACTGTGGATGCTTCATGCATCTGTATGGGCTGGGGCATCCCAGGTGCGCAGAGCTCTGGGCAGGCACTTGGAAGGCACCTGGCTGGCTCAGTAGCTGTGGTCATCAGTCTCCCTGCACTTCAAGTGACAGAGCTGTACTAGATGGTCTCTAAGGAGCTCACAGAGTTGGTTTGGCCTCAAGTAGGAAGGGAAGCAACCTGTCAGGGACAGGGCTTTCTGGGAAAGTAGATTTAGGCCAGCTGCCTGAAGATGGGAGCCAGTGAGTACTGGGAGACGGGGTGCCACTCCAGCCAGACTGAACAGTGTCCTAATAAGAGTTCTCAAGACCTTGTGTAAACTGCTGGAAAGTGGTATGTGGGGTTGAGAAGGGAGTATGGTCACAGAAGGCAGAAAGTGACAGGTGTTACAGAAGGCTGGCAGTGACCTGTCCTCTGGTCAGGGCTATTTTCCTCAGTGCCCAGTGCAGAGAGCACTGCAGTGATGGTGTCCACACTCTGGTATTCTTGGCCAATGACTGAAGATGAGGGCATACCACCTGATGAGGCAGATCCTTTTCAGAGTGGGCAGCAGGTTGGGCAGAGGTGCCTGTGCAGGTGCCAGTGCCATTGTGGCCCTTGCCCTGTGGGTCACATTACTCCACTGCTGCAGGTGGCAGAAGCCTGCATCTTACAGGCCCTGCCAGTGGGGGCTCCTTGTGACCGTGCCTCTCACAGACATTGGGGTGTAGCTCAGATGAGACATGCTCATGGCCACTGAAATGTGGCTTTGCGACTACATGCTGCTGCCAGGGCCCAGCATGGTGGGCTGAGAGACATCCTCGGATACCGGGGCGGCAAGGGGGCATTGTGGAAAGCGCAGCTCCTCAGGCCCTTGCAGGGTGAGGTGGGCAGGGAGGTTCTGCCAGGAGTACGGTCAGGCCCCTCTTCTGCCCCAGCTTCAGAGTGTGACAGGGAACTCTGTCCATGCCATGTCTTTGGCTTTTTGCTCCCTCTTAGAACCTAAGAAACCCTTTAGGGGATAACTTCCAGGAGCACGTGGTCATGACAGAGCCAGCAGCCTTCCATTTGTCTGTGCCAGCTGGGGACAGACCACAGCACAGCTGGGCATGTGCTTCTGTTTGACCATGTCAGAACTCCTGGCCCAGTGTGAGTTAACAGCTCACCTGTGTGTCTGATGACTCCCTTCTGCATGTACTCAAAAAAGAAAATTGTGCCCTGGTGGCAGTCCATCATGCCCCTGCAGTTATGAGAATGTAGGCTAAGCTGGGAATCTGGCTGTGGACACTTTCTGTAGTTGATGCTTCTATATAGCTTAGATGCGGAAGATGATGGCTGAGCCAGTCTTGTTGCGGAGGAGAGCAGGATGATCGTGGTGGAGAGGTTTTATTTTGCAGGCTGCTAAGGGGCACTCCAGGGTAGAAGCCTGCAGCCCCAAGGCTGTATGGGGGTAAGGAGCTGGGGGACACTGGTGCACATGCTGGGGCAGGTGCTCTCTGGACTCCCCTTCTCTGTGCCAAGATTGTATCCTTGCTTGGTGTCCCTGTTTCGTAGCCCTTGGAGGCTGTGGGAAGGGAAGGGAGCCCTGGGGACTTGACTCCCCCAGGGCAGAGTGGAGTCCAGACTTTAGTCCCTGCGTGCTGCCAGGTTGGGCTCTGTACTGTCTGGCCCTCTATCCAGCACCTGGCAGGCAGTCCTAACTCTACCTTTGTTTCTCTCAACTAGATTTGGCCGGTACAGGTGTGAGAAGGGGACCACTGCAGTCCTCACTGAGAAAGTCACTACTTTGGAGATTGAGGTGCTGGAGGAGACTGTACAGACGATGGACACTTCCTAAAGTGTCAGCGGCCCTAACGGCTGGGGCAGTGGGACCTACAGAAGATACTCATTTGGCAATTTGCAGAATGGAGTTCAATAAAAATGAAAACCACAGTGGGAAGCTGAGGTTTGAGGACTGTGTGGTTTTTGGGCCACTGAGGCCCATTGATCTGGTCTTTCAGGCTCTTTATCCCTCTGGGAGACCATTCTGGTTGGGTGTCAGCACTGTGCCCTCTTTGAAAATAGGGCAGGCCACCTGTGGCCTGAAGCTGTGCAGTCACTTTGGTTCCTCAGGTGAACACCCCTGCCTCCTTCCTCTGCTGGGGGGCCAGGTCCTGCCCAGAGCATCAATGTCCCAAGAGTGATGCGTGTAGTGCAGCCTTTGCCCCAGCAGCCAGGTAGGAACATGGCAGCGCAAGGCCCTGGGTTCCATCCCCAGAGTCATGAAAAATCTTCCGAGTGTGCATTCTGGGGCTCTGTCCAGGTTGTGGTGCCAGGAAGAGGCCAACAGGACGGTCCGCTTTCCCGCAGCTGCACTAAGCTAGCTGAGTGAGCGCTGCTGTGCCAGTTTCACCGACATCAAAGGCATGTCCTGGGACTTAGTTAGGACGTGGCTGTGACACAAGCCCTCTGGCTGGGAACCCTGGAGACCAGAAGTCTCTGGAGCACGCCCCTCATGGGGGGTGCTCTCCGGGTGGGGAAAGCGGGTGGCGCCTGGCAAGCAAGTTCTTCCATGGGCTGGGGCTGCCCATGCCAAGGGGCACTCTGGGAGCCAGAAGCAGAACTGTTTGTAAAGAAAGTCTGTCTAGAATTGGGAAACTTTGAGTGGCTGTTGCTGGGCTAGAGACGAGGGTGCCAGTTTCCCCCCCAGGAGAAGACTCCAGGCTGCACCTACCTGGGGCAGCTCCCCTTGGGGACAGCTAGGAGTGGGCTGGGGAGATGAGTGCAGTTCCTGAGGCTGCACTTGGCTGACAGCTGTCAGAGTCATTGGGGAGCTCAAGGAAATTCCGAGATTACTCACAGTGTCTGGGGCCTGACAAGCTGTTTTCCAAAAGCTCCTCAAGAGGTTGTGTTGCTGACGTGTTAGGTCTAGGATCTCCCCAGTTGAGAGGAAACGCTGGAAGCTGTTGTAAACCCCCAAAGCACTCCCCTCACAGAAGCTGCCCTTCTCCCCACTTTATTTCAAGCACATGAAGGCGCATACAGAGCAGAGGCATCTGGGGACAGCTCTGAAGCCCGACAGCATCTCGGTGCTGGGCAGAGCAGAGCTCAGAGTGGAGACAGTCAGCAGCCTCAGGGCCCTGCCAGCCAGGTGCAGTCAGGAGACCCCTGACCTCGACCCCGGGAAGGTTAACTTTCATATAAAAACACAGTTCAACTCGCATTTAGAGCTTGAATTTCCTTAATTCACATTTATAAATTAGTCTTCACAGTTAATCCTATTTGGGAACAAGCAATAAATGAACATATTTCTGGTTTCCTACACATGATACAGTTGCACTTTTTAATTCTTGACATGAATGGTCCAGGGGCTTAAGTTCCCTTCGGGATCGTCTGCTTTGTGCTGCCTTGCAAGTTTTATCTCGAATTCTGTCTACCTGAAGGTAGACGGTATTAGCTGATTAGGAAACTAAGGCTCAGAAAGGCTAAGTAACGTGCCCGAGGTCACACTGGGAAGTTGTAGAACAAGGATTTGCCAAGAAGAACCCAGGGGCAAAGCTTGTGTCCCACGCTTCCTTTCCACGGAGGGAAATGCTTAACACTAGTCACGAAACGAGCCACCAGCACTCCTGGAGGTGATGGGCTGGGTGCCTGGCACATGGCAGGGTTCAGGAGATGAGTACAGACCGCACAACCTGGCTTCCAGGTGCCATTTGCCTCACAAAGCTCTGCTAGGTGCTGAGTTCTCGTCATCACTCATCAAGTTATAAAATGCAGACTAAAAATATTAGTGAAATATCTACTCTAGTTTTAACAAATCATTTCCACTTTATCCCTTTACAACAGAGTAAATTGAGCACACAGCTTGATTGTCTGAAAAGATACTAAGAACTAAATTGAACTTGCTGCTAACCATTGTCAGCAGCTCACACAAGTCACAGTGTCCCCTGCAAGTCTCCTGCCAGTGTAGACTCAGGCAGGCCTCGGAATTCCCCAGATTCACATTACAGTCCAGATACAGGAGGCTTTGGTGGCTCGCTGAACGCCCCTTAAAACAAGCCAGCGGAGATGGTCCAAACAGTACAGAGAAAGGACTTGGGGTTTGACCATGGCCTGGCTGCTCTGTTTTCAGCTTCGGCTGCCCTGGGGGATCTCCTGAGCCCTCTTGTCTCAGCTGTTCAGGCTGTAGGAGGCTGCTTCAGAAGACTCAAGGCAAAGTGGTGTTGGTTCTGAAGAGGCTTGGTGCCCACTCAGGTGCTGGACATCCAGACGTGCATCTGCTTGGCCACCTGGTGCACGTACACGATGTCTGGCCTCTGGTCCGGGTCGGGGTAGATGCACATGCTGACCAGTTCTCGGAGCTGCCAGGAGAAAGCAATTGCTGTTACTGAGAAAGCAGCCGAAGTGAGTGTTTATGTCTGCATCCTATGCTTGCAGCACCCGGAAGGTGCTGCTGTTGTTTCCGTTAGAGGTGAGGAATGATGCTGTCTGTGCAAAGCTGTGTAATGGGTGCAGGGCCACAAGGCTCCTAAGGGATAGCCAGGGCCACTCCCAGGCCTGTCTGGCCCCAAGACCATGCTTTGAGAGCCTCAGAGGTAATTTTGAACTCTGAACCTTTGGGCTGATCTGTAAGTGTGTGGTGCGTGTGTGTGTACGCACCCTGGGTGCATGTATGGTTGCCGTCAATCATGCAGAGGCCCAAACCCGAGGACCCAACTCAAGGAAGGGGCTTATTGATCATAATAAATGCATTAACATGCAGCAGGGCTACAGTCTCCCACCCCCTGGCCTCTTCATTGTGCTCATGAAAGACGGCACTTTTAATTATACAGACACTGAAGGCTTTGCCTGCCTGAGCTGGGGGAGGGGTGCCTTGAGCCTCTGATCGCCTCCTCTTCTGATAGCCTGGGTGCCAATTATTTTAATGGTAATTAAAATAATGACCTTAAAAAGCCTATGTCTTAACTTGCATGGCTGGGCTCACCGCAGTGTTTTCCATTTAAATACCTGCTGCTGTGGGGGCTGGGTGCCCCTGCTGTCTGGGGACCTGAGTGGGGGCTGAGTGGCCCCAGTGGTCACTCCTAGGAGCCTGCAGCAGGGCTGCAGGAACATTCTGGGGGCCTAGGGGCTGCTTACACATGCCCCAGGCTGAAGATCCGGGGCCTTGGTGTCTGCAGATGAGGTGTGCACTGGGCTTTCTCTCCAGCCTTAGCACCCCAGGACAGCACCTGCGACCTCGGTGCAGTGTTGGATACCACTGCTTTCTCAGCACTGGGAGGCTCAAGCCGATGACAGGGAGCCTGCAGCCTCTGGTGAGGTTACCTACTGTACACAACTCAGGAGGGCAGCTGTGGTCAGCCTCTGCCAAGTTATAGTGCCCAGGTTAAAGTGAAGTCTGTGTGACCACACAGTTGGCAATAAGTATGTGTCTGAGATTTTCAGAGATCAAATAACATGTCTTCACTTGTAAGGGGTCAACACTGTACTGAGGAGGCCCTAGCCAGTTTCAGAGTGTACCAAGCCTGGATGGGGGGTGCCCAGGGTCTCTGGCTCTGGAGAGAAAGGCGGAGGGTTCTGGAGCCCTTCAAGGCAGTCTTGGGACAGAAGCAGAGGGGTGGCACCCCTTTGCGGTCTGGTGCTGAGGCAGATTAGTTGGGATTTATGCCCGGTTGTGTGGCTTTGTAAGCTTCCTGCCTCTGAATGGTACGAGATTTAAACAAAGATGAGAAAGGAGGAAGCGAACACAGCCAGGAACTTGAAAGAAATGCAGCTCGTTTTTCCTTTCCTGCCAGCGTGCACTCCGGAGCACAACTACTTCCTTCCTAGGTGCCTGTGAGAACTGTGCTAGCGGCTGAGGCGGTCGGGCGGGGAGGGTGCTGTGCGACTGCCTGGGCCCTGGACCTGCCCGCCTGGGGGACATCAAATCTGGGGACACCACCTGGGAACCATGGGAGCCTGCTTTGCCCCTTGTGCACAGGGCATCTCCTTCTAGGCCTTACCCCCTGAACGCTTGACTGCCATAGGGGATGTGCCTGCGAGAGACGAGGAAGGCCTTACAGCAAGGGACAGAGTTCCTTGTCACGCTGGGCATGTTCCTGTGCTGAACTGGGCTGGGTCTTAGTTTCCTTATTGAGAAGATGGGGACAGGAGTGGATCTGATCACAGGCAATGGCCCTGGTCCTGCAAGGGGACCCAGGAGGGCCCCAGACATACACCCATGACATGGACCTTAACAGGTGGGAGCTGGGAGCCTAACAGAAGGGTGACAGTGGCTCCAGTTGCTGGCTGCTCTCTTTAGGGGTCACACTACAATTGTAAGATTCCAGTACACTCATCTGCTCAGGCCTGGCCCCTAACAGAGTTCCCTTCCCCACCCATGGCCATCTGGGATCACCAGGCCTGGGCTGTGGCCTCCTGACTCACCTTCTCCGAGTAGTGCTCCCCTGGGAGCGGTGGGTAATCACACTGCTCAATCTTCTGACAGAGGGAAAAGAGATTCATTTTATCACCGTAGAAGGGGCTCTGCAGGGCGGCCATCTGTAGGGGAGGATACAGCCATCAGGGACAGCCTCGAGGCCCAGAGGGACTCCAGACGGGCCAGGTCCTCCTCTGGTCCATACTGCAGTGACTATCCAGAGGGCCTTGGCACCAGGGTCCCTACTGGACCTTGGGCCGGACCGGAGGGCCAGAGTCCTGCTTTGGTGCTGGCAGGAGTGAAAGCAGCTGGGCTCTGTGGACCCTGGCCCTCCAGCTGCCAGCCGCAGCCTTCCACCCACATCAGGCTTCAGTTTTCTGGACCACTCACTCCATCCTCTTCATACTGTGCCCATGGGCAGTTCCTTGGTTGTGCAGGCAGCCTCAAGGAGGCAGCATTTCGGGTTTCCTTAGGCCAGATCCAGGAGCCTGGCTTGGGGTGGCAGTGTGGCCCAGTGCAGGGCCTGGCCAGGTGCTGTCGGGAGTGTGTGCAGGCATCGTCACACCCTTGCTCCTCCCACTACATCGCCTCTCCCTACTTCGCAGGGCACCTGGCACGGGAGGGGCCCTAACTGGGAGCCTGCTTTGCCACCCAGTGTGCGAATGGCCTGACTAGTGCAATGCATCTCCAAAAATTTAAATGGGAGCCTTGGGTGCCAAGAGCTAATTGGGCACTTTCAAAAAGACATCTGTTGCCATAGCAGAGAGCAGCTAAGGCTCCAGGGCACTCGCAGGGGTGACCTGGGTGCCCCTGAGTTGTGGCTGGAGCCTCCAGATGGACTTTGCCTGGAGACTGCTTTGGTTCAGGGTAGACAGGACATTTAATGTTGGTCCTGCCAACGTGAGCCCTAATGTTTTGTGCAAGGGACCTGTTACCCTTCAGCAGGCTAATCTGATCTGATATTTGCCAACTTGGCTGCTTAGGACTCTTCCCTGCTGCCCCCTCCAGCCTCCAGCCGCCACCTTCCACCCACATCAGGGCAGCAGGCCGTAAAGGAGGCTCAGGCTGCTGGCGATCCGGGATTAAGATGATTACCCGGGATGGCGAGATCCCTGACACCGGTGGCCACCCAGCCTCTGGCTGGCTGGTGCACATGAGGAGCTGCTATTCCAGGCTGATGCTGGTTCCTCGTTAGAGCCACCAGAGCCATGGCTCTCAGCACTGCCCCTCCTCGGAAAACATTCCCTCCTGGGAGTTGCTGAGATAACACTCAGCCAAGGCCAGGGCAAAACTGGTGCGTGATCAGAGATGTCAGAGAGAGAAGGGGGAATCAGACTTCAGCAAGAGCAGGCGCTGTATCTACTCCGGCCTGTCGGGGCTGCAGAAACACATCCTGTCACCTAGAACACCCCTAGCACATCCTGGAGAGGAGGGTGGCCCAGGGGCCATGCAGTCTTCAGCCCTGCTCCTGGGGAAAGGGCACTGGCCACTCAGCTGACAGTGCCCTGACTCGAGGGCGGCACGGGCTGAAGGTGCTGGGAAGCAAGAGGCTGCAAGGAGAGGAGAAGGGCTGCAGGGTGTGGGTGGCCTCCCTGTTTTCCACTGAAAGGATACAGAACAGAGACCCGAGGGATCCACACCCTGCAGTGGCCCTGAAAGACTGATGGTGAACTTCTGGCCTCCAGAACTGGGAGCAAATGTTGTGTGAAACCATCAACCTTATCGTCATCTGTCACAGCCACCACAGGGCCCTGATGCAGGGGCCTTCGCAGCTGGAAGCCAGGGAGTCCTTGCTGGAGGTCTGTGTGTCCCTCACACCCCAGGCCATGTTCCACCAGTGCCACCCAAATTTCAGCGGCCATCTGGAGTGGTGGGGGCCTCTGTCACAGACCTGCAGGTGGCGCTCCTGAAGGACACCGCAGGCTGCCAGCACTGCAGGCTGGAGTCATGACTACGGGATGTCTGCTAATTACGCAGATGTGCTGCGCCCTGTCTGCCGGGAAACATCCGCTGCTTCCCTCCCAACGTGGGCTGTGACCGTGGGGAGGGGGTGCTGCCCTGTCACTCTCCAAGGGCCACCACCAGCAGGAGCCAGGGCCATCAGGTATAGATCAGTGCATGAGGACAGACGCCCAACCCCAGGGGATGTGGCCGATTGAGTCTGTTGCCTTCTCATTGCTGATGTCCCCCCTGGCTGCGAGCTGCTCCGTCCGCTCCATGCACTGCCAACAAATCCATCAACCCTGCGGAGCAGGAGCCACTGCTGGAGGAACGGGAGCCACCAAGGGGGCCACTGCCTCGGCAGACACGTGGCAGGTACCCCGCAGCGGCTCAAGTAGCAACGAAGGCTGTTTCTGGGCAGAGAGAGCCAGAGAGTGCCTCACAGATGCACGAGGCACTCTGCCCAGCCTGGCTGGCCTGCGTGTCTAAGGACCCCACGGCTCAGAGAGGGCAAGAGGCGGCTTCCAGAAAAGTAGGAAACACAGGGTGGGAAAAGAAAAGAAGCCACCTGGACTAGAGCAAGGCAAATGAGGACAAGGGGAGGGAGAAGAGTTCTCTGCGGCCTGGGGCTGAGCTGCATGGACACCTTTCACGGCCAAAGCGAAAAGGGAAGCACGGGAAGACCGCCGGAGCCTCCCCTCCACAGGGGCAGTAAGCGGCACCATCAGTGCACTGGGTTAGAGTCCTCGTGGACAAGGTGAGGGCCAGCTTGGGGCCAGGCAGGTGCCACACCACGAGCCTCCTCTCGCCTCACTGCAGGCAGCCTGGGGCCCCACGCTATGTGCCCCCGCCCCAGTCAGGTGCCCCGGTCAGGCAGTCTGGGTCACTATATCTCTCCCTCAAAAGACAAAGCTGTGCCAACTATCATACCACCTGGCACGTGGGGAGGGTAGGTCCTGCTGCCCAGATACCCTGGGCATGAGAGCTGCTGCATCGCATGGCACAGCACGGGGTGCTCATGTCCTTGTCTCGGGTTGATGCAGGAGATGGGGCAGTCAGAGCTGCCCAGGAAGCCAAGGGAGCCAAGACTTACACAGTCCCGGACACTGTCCTAAGTGTCAGGGCCTGTCCACAGCCACATCAGCTTCATGGGGAGATCCTTTCAGTTGAACAGTGCCATGCAGGCCCATGTGGACTCCGGGAAAAGCAGAAAGATAATCAAGGTTCTAGTGAAAACCAAAGCCCTCTCCTGTCATTTCCTCATCAAGGCTCTGACAATGTGGGACAGGAACTACTGCTCCCATTTTACAGATGGGGACACTGGAGCTCAGCAGGACGGTGTACTCCTGCAGCCATCAGCACTGGGTGGCCAGGATGGTAGGGGGTGTGGTCAGCAATGCAGAGACCCCAGAGGTCCCAGGTCTGCCTGTTGCTGGTGACTGTAACAGTTTTGTGGCTGAGGACACTTTGTGTTCCCCACTCCCCAGCTATGGGGCCCCAAAGTGGCCAAAATGGGTGTGTACTTCTGCCACCTCTCATCCAAGCCCACTGAGACTTGGATATGGTGCTGTCCCTCAGTCCAGCTGTCTGCTGGCTCTGAAATAGCTGTCTGGTGGCCCCTTTCATGGTTCGGGGCAGTGGCACAGGCCTTCTGAGAGACGTGGATGCCTTCAGAGGGGAAGCGACTCAGAGGCACAAGCCTGGCCTAAGTCTCCACTTATCCCCAGCACCCTGGATGTGGCCTGACGCATCACAAGCAGAATCACCAGCAGGTGGATGTGGCTGCCAAGGAGATCAGGAGAGGCACTTGGGGCAGGCGTGTGTCACCCACTGCCCCCTCTGTCTGCGTCCTGGGTGTTCCCCTCCCAGATCTGAGCAGCACACAAGTGAGCCAGGTCCAGCCTGACGTTACCGACCAGGCCACAAGGGAGGGGCAGGGAGGGCAGATCCTGGATGGTCCTGATGCCCCGGTGGCAGACAGATGCCTTTCCAGTCTCCACTGAGCTGCCAGGCAGAGGCTCACCTCATATAGAAGACAGCCCAGGGACCAGATGTCGGACTTGAAGTTGTAGCCGTTCTCGTGGATCCTCTCCGGTGACATGTAGTATGGGGTCCCAACTGAAACACAGCAAGGGCAGACTCAGACCCGAGCCCGGAAGGGCCAGGAGCACAGCAGGGTGGGGAGGGGCCTCTGGGAGGGAGATGGCCTCTGTCGCTGGGCAGCCCCAGCCCCCAGCCTGTCTTCTACCAGGTCAGTTTGGAGGCACCAAGGCTACAGAGCCCTGGGATCTTGGAGAGGACTCCAGGCCCACCCGGAGCTGAGCGTCAGGGTGCAGCTGGGCACAGGACTGGGACTAAGGAGCAGATCCCCTCATCTGCAGGGTGGGGACAGTGACCACGGCAGATGCTGGCCAAGCCTTTCACGCTACCTCACCCACGTCCTCACTTTACAGGTGGGGATATTGAGGCTTGGGGGAAGATGCTCACATAAAAGTAGCAGGAACAGGTTTGAGCCAAGTTCCAGGAGCCCCAGAACTCAGCAGTTGCATCCACGGGTGGCGGGGCCTAGTCCTGGGGTTGCCCGAGCAGGAACAGGGAAGACACCGCCCGTAAGAGAGTAGATTTTGTTAAAATGAGGAACCTCAGTTCCCTGAGAGTCAGAAGGCGGGAGAGAGAATCGTCTCACTCAGAGTGCCCCACAGGCTGATGGGCAGAATCCTGCTGTGCCCTTGGGTTGGTGCCTTTTAAGAGGGAGATGCCCTGCCTCACCAGAGGTACCCCCTTTGCGCCAGTGTGTGAAGCTCTCCCTGCCATGCCGGCTGTGCCTGGGTCTAAGCCGCATACACCCAGGTTTTCCACATCCAGGGATGCTCAGGCGCGATGAGCACAATGTGCTGCTTGCGTGAGTTTTCAAGATGAAACAAGAGACTTCAAAGAAATGCCGAGCTTGCAGCGGGCCACTGAGGATGCATCCCCAGCCCCCAGGGGATCGGGGACTCTGGGGAAGACAGGAGAAGCCAGCAGGTGGCAGCGTCTCTGCACAGCCTGGGCACCTCCGTGGGCAGCACAACTCACCTGACCATCTTTCCACACCATGCAGATGCAGAGCCTGTGCCACCTGGGCCTCGGTCCCCCCTCGTACTGGGGACAGGGCTGTGCACAGGAGACAGGGCTGCGCACCCCTTGACCCTACCGAGTCTATACTCAACATAGGATTTCAAACCCGGCAAATATCAGAGGAGGACACAGGGCCTCAGAGGGGGAAGCTGATTAAAGCACCCGCTCCCTCCCCAGATGTGCCGCTCCTGTCAAAACAAACTTCGCTGTGTTTTAAAATGCTTGCGGCGCTGGGAACACGTTCATTAGCTATGAAGAAGGTGGATTTCACATGCAGGGGCGGCTGCTGCGTGCCAGTGCCCCCTTCCCTGAGCAGGGCTTTTGAAATGGGCTGCAGAAAGGAGCTGCAGCGTCTGTGTGCCAGCGGGGGCCCCAGCTGGAGGTCCCTGCTGCACACGGTCCCTCTGCACGTGCCAATGGCAGGACCTCATGCTGGACCCACTGCGTGTGGCCCACATCAGCCGTTCCCAGGGGAGACTGGCTGCCCACCTCAGCCTGTCTCCCACCAGTGCAGCAGTGCCCTCCCCTTGGCAGCTGGCTCTCTCTCCAGGATGTGAGCAGGGGTGATCAGAGCTGGTCTGGGTCCTAGATGAGGAGGACGGGGGCCAAGGGCAGGGGCCAGGTCAGCCTCCCCTGGAAGTGGCCCCAGACCTGGCACGAGTCTATGCTGGGTGAATGAGCAAATGAATCAACACTGAGCCCCACCTGGCAGCGCAGGCCCAGCTGGACCCTCATACGCTCGCCCCCCTCTGGTTGTAGCTCCTATCTTTCTAGTAGTTTGTGCCCCTGAAAAATGCTGGGGAGGTAGCAGCTAGCCATGTGTGACCTCCCATGACTTCACACCTGGCATCAGCTCAGAACCACGGCTGAGCCTGCGGATGCAGGTGCTCCGGGCAAAGGGAGGCCCCGGGTCTTGCCTTAGTGACATGCGTCCCTGGTGGTATCTGGCTATGAGGACTCGTCACAGCTAGAGACGGGGATGTCACAGTGCAGCATGGCCACCGAGTGACCAGCACCTGCCTGTGTGCAGTGGGCCTGCAGGAGGGGTCCCACCTGACCCCTCACCAGGTCGCCTCCCTCCATGTCTGGGGGCTGCTGAGTGCAGAGAAGGCTGCAGAACCATGTGCCCCCGGGCCCAGCCCAGGGCGGGAAAGTCAGCTGAGGAAGAGGAGGCTGACAGCTGGTACCTGACAGGCTCCCCAGCTGCCCGGACCCCAGGGAGTCCAGGGAGTCCAGGCGGCACCCAGCCCAGGCTGGGTGTGCACCGGCCCCCTTCCCACCCTTGTCCCCGCCGGGTGCTGCCCTGTCACTGCTGCAGAACGAGTGGCAGGGCCTGCCTTCCTGCTCTCCAGCCCCACAATTTGTCTTGCAGCTGCTGCTGTTGCTCGGAGCGAGACACTTGCTTGTAGCTTGTGAGCTGTGTATAGGCAAATCTTTCATTTTTCTTTCATTACGCCAGCGTGTACTGTCACTTAATTTTTATGTATGCAATCCTTCCTGACAAATATGATCTGCTGCCTGGTAATTCGTCTGACGCTCATTCTGTTCCGCACTCTAATTACGGCTCCGATTCCTGACACCGAGGCAGCCGCTCTGCCGCTGCTGGGTACCGCACCTGTCAGCCCGGCCATGGCACTGACTAATGCCCTTTCATGCCAGCCTTGTGTTAGCAAATACAGAGGCAGAGGAGGCCAGGGTGGGGGAAGTAGGGGAGTTGGGATTTGCATAAACCTAGCTCCTGGGTCAGCGGCCTAAGGAGATAAGATGGTTGCCAGGGTAACCAGCTGCCACCAAGGCATTTGCACATAGTAGGTGTGCACCACACATGGTGAATGCATAATTCATACCCACACACAGGCTGTGTCCCTCTTAAGTCAGCCTGCAACAGCAATCAGTTCAACCCTCTTGCCCACCCAGATGTGTGTGCAGGACTAGGTCAGCTGTGGGCAGAACCTCGCTGTGCATGGAGACTTCCTGTTCCTTCCCAACCGCAGCTGTGCACTGCTATCCGCGTGAAGCCTGGGTGGGTGCAGACAGCGTTGGGTCCCAGAATGTGTCCACTGTACCAGGTCTGGCAAAGACTCCACCCAAGCCCTAGCTCAGTGGTGTCTCTTGGATGCTGAGAACACAGCTCAGAGCTGGGACAGTCCCGTCACATAGCCTAGATGGCCCTGCAAAGGCCTCAGGAAAAGCCTGGCTTCCAGGGCGGCCTTTCCCCAAGTTCCAATTCCTTCTCATTAATATAATAAGTGCACCAGTCCCCAGGGATGAAATCGCACTGTCGGAGGAGCCCGTACCTCCGCCTGTCCCTAATGATGCGATCCTAACCGGCTCTGACGGGCGCCCTGTCTTCTCCGCAGCACGACGGAGGGGCTCAGCCTGAGTGACGGTGCCCAGGAGGCAGCGCTGTGCTCCTCTGTGACAGTGTCCCTCAGAGCTCAGGCCTTCTTGAAGCTCAAGAGCCAGACAGGAAGGCGGAGCTGTAGGTCACTGTGCAAGGTCCTGGATTGACCCCCAGAATTGCAAAGAAAAAAAAACCAAAAAACCAAAAAACCCCCAACTGAACAAAAAACCTAAAACACAAAAACAAAAACCAAGCACAGCTAAGTCAACAGTCCCAAACCAACCAAAACACTTTTTTCTCCCACAAAAATGTCTGTGGGGGCTGGGAGAGACCAGGTTTCTCCTCAGTAACAGTCAAGAGCCAGAGCTCCCCCGGGGAAGCCTCTGGAGGAGGCTCGGGCTCCTCAGCAGATGCTGAGCTCCAGTCCTGCCTCAGCACGCCGGGACCTCACAAAATCACTCCAGCTCTCTGGATTTCAGATTCCTCAAGATCCCCCAGACCCTGAAGACCACCGGAGGATGGAGCAGCATGAAGTCCCAGCGCGGACAGCCTTTGCACTGCCTTTCCCCTGCAGACAAAGGAGGTGGCCTGGCCAGGTCCCCAGGCCTGACAGGGACCCATCCTCCTGCATGGCTAGGAGCAGCCAAGTGTGAGCCCTGTGCTGAGTCTAAGGGGTCGGGACCTGAATGAAAACCCAGATGTCAGGGGACAGGGACACCCTGCTCTAAGCCACGGGGTGCCCTCCTGTTGCCCAGGGATGCATCCGCCCAGGGCTGGGCAGCACAGGGGCTGCCGGGAACCACTCTGGAGAAGAGCAGTCTCATATACTGCACAGCAGACCCCACTTCTGGTCCTGCTGGGCCTGGCTTCTGTACCCTAACCCCACCCCAGGCCTCAAGCTGTTACGTCCCAGGCACCTGAACTCAGCTGCACCTGACCTGTATGTGGCCCCTCTGCCAGCCCGCACTGCCAGAACTGTGCCAGCCCCAGCTCAGTGCCCCCTCCCCGCCCCGCTCACCTGTCCCAGCACCCAGATTCTGTCCCCACCACCGACCCACCAGCTCCTGTCTGCCCCAACCACAGTGCTGCTATGGTCACCACTGCTGGGGAAGATGGACAGCTGGCTCAGGAGCTGGCTCGATGTCCACCTGGGGACAGTGCAGAGCACAGGAGACCACCAGCACGTCCTGCTGGCCTCCCTGGGGCTGGGGACCTGGAGCAGACAGGAGGCCAGAGCCACCAGCCCCTCCTGCCTATTCCGAAAATATGAGTAAACTCCAGGTTCAAAAAGCCATTTCCAGTGAGGCATGGCGGCACAAACCTGTAACCCCAGCACTCAGGAGGCTGAGGCAGGAGGATCCCTGTGAGTTTGAGGCTAGCTGAACTCCTCAGAGAGACCCTTGTTTGAGAAAAAAAAAAAGGATTTTCCTGCACTGAGTGACTGAAGGCCCCACATGAAGTGTGGGCACCTCCTGGCATGGTTTCTGGGGCTGCAGGGCTGGGCACAGAGCAGCCCCCTTACCGAGGGAGTGTGCTGCTGTGGTCTCCGAGCTGAAGAAGCGTCCCAGGCCAAGGTCACCAAGCTTCACGATGCCCGTCGCTGTGATGAACACATTGGCAGGCTTGATGTCTGCAGAGGAAAGAGATGGGTTGCTGTGGGAAGATACCTGGGAGAGTCTTTCAGGGGACAGCATGGCCAACTTCTACGGAGACGTCAAACCCCATGGGAAAGTTCCCTCCCCCAAGTCTCTTCCCAGGCTCTGCTCATCACCACCGTTCACCTGTAAAATGGACCTATCTCACAGAGCTGCTCTGAGGTCTGGGAGGACAGGGATTTTGTGTTCTTGTTCCCTGTTCGTACAGCTGTGTCCCTGTGACAAGAATAGTGCCCAGCACACAGCAGGCTCTCAGTGGAAATTTGTGTAACCAGCAACCAAGCCATCAGTGAGGTGACCCGTGCTGTACCCCAGTGACCAGAGCAATACTTTACACACAGGTGACAGGACAGGTGCAGGGACGACAGGAGAGGTCAGTGAAGTGAGCTCCTCAACTTGGGGTGACATCAACTTTTGGGAAACACTCTTTTGTAAGTGTCTCACCTCCTCCGCTCAGCCAACTCCTACTCAGACGTCAAAGCCCACATGAAAGTTCCCTTCTCCGGGCAGAGCTGGCAGCAGCACTGGAACTGGCCATACCTGGGCTACCTGGACTAGAGCTGGGGACTGGAGACACTGAGGGTGGCCCCCTTGCTGGGGGGTAGAGGCAGCTGCATGTTATGGTCCCACGCCCCCTGCGCAGGTGCATACCTCGGTGCATGATACGGCGGGAGTGCATGTGCTCCACAGCACTGCACAGCTGCACGAAGTACTTCCACACGGTCCTCTCAGGGATGAGCCGCTGCTGCTTCTTGAAGTACTGCAGGGACAGATGACAGCGAGCTGAGTGAGAGATTGCTGTCGCCGTCCCCCATGGGGGTCTGAACAGAGAGCGCCTGCAGGCCCAGGTCAGCCCCAGCTGGGACAGGGAGGGCAGGCAAGCTAGTGGGGCTGACTTCCGGAGCTGCAGGAGTGGGGCACACCTCACCGCGCTGACTCAGGCTGGCGCTGTGCGTGCGTGCGTGCACGGGGGTGAATGGGGTAGGGGCAGGGCCGGGACAGGGGAGGCCGAGGGCTGCATAGGCCGAGTCACAGCCTGGGCCCGAGCTCTCTCTGAGGAAGCCCCAGCCCTTCAGCCACTGCTGCTGACACCGGGAGGCCTGGGCAAAGATGGACGGAGCTCAGAGAGGCTCAGGAGCGGCCAGAGGCTGAGCAGGGGGGGCCCAGAGCTGGGGTCCAGTCTGGCTGCTTCCGGAAACAACACCCAGCCTTGAAGTGAAGCCGCAGGTCTTTGCGAGGCTGCTTCCAGACCGGGCTTTGGGGGGAGGGGGACTCGGGGGTGTCCTGTACCCTGGGCTGCCTGGCCCCAGGTGGGCTGCGTGGGGGTGACACTGCGCCAGGATGCTACTCGGTCCTCATTACTGTGTCTGTGCGGGGACACGCACAGCCGAGTGGTGATTTTCGAAATGTCACATCCGCTCAGCAATGCCTGACATTTAGCGGGAAGTCGCAGAGTCTCTAGTGGGTTCCAGGCGGCAGCGGCAGCGGCAGCTCAGCTCCGGGTGGCACCTCAGTCCCTCGTAAATAATGCGACGCCCCCTCCTCAGCCCCTGGGCGGGGTGGGGGACGGGACAGCCAGGCAAGGACCCTGGCAAGGCCTCCGCGCCCACAGCCAGCTGAACTCCGGGCACCAGGTACAGTGCCGATATGGTACCGATGGAGACGCTGAGGCACAGGGCCCTGCCCTGCCTCTCCCCTACAGCACTGCTCAAGGCCACCTTCTCCAGGAAGTCCTCCTTGCCTGCCCCAGGCCCTGGGCTGGGCTGGTTCAGGGTCTGCCTTCCTGTGGGAATCTGGGCCGGGCCAACAGCACCCTCCAGGTCTGGGTGCAGGGCTGGCACTTGGGTGTGTGCGGTGACAGAAACGACTGGGCAGGGCGGCTTGATGTAGCACATCTGCTCCCAGCGGGAGCTCTGCGGAGATTAACATCCCCGCAAATGCATTAATATGTCAACAGAAATATAAAAGCAGGCGATAACAGCTCAGGCAGAGCCACTTTCCGGCGACGATGTATTCCTAAGGGCCAGATTTTGGAAGAGCAAGTGCCGCACAAAGCATCGCTCAGTTCCCCTGCCTGCGGGAGGCTGGAGAATCCGCCTCCGCTCGTTTCCAGGCGGGGCTGGCAGCCTGGCCTCCCCTGGGGACAGATCCAGATCAGGGGAGGAAGGCCTGGTCCTGCTGCCAGTTCACTGGAGCTGCTCCTGGGCCCTGGGGTCACAGCAGGGCTGACTTGGGAGTGATGACCCCAGGCAGTGGCCACTTTGTGGAAGTTCTCTCCTTGGGCTGGGGGTCACTTTCAGGGCAATGTCCACTGAACAGTCCCTGACCAAGAAAGCAGAGACATGGGGTATGGCACTATCCCCACCTTGGGGACCATCTCGGGCAGGTCTCTTAACCTCCAGGGGCTTGGTGTTCCTTTCTATAAGTAAGGTGGCCTGTGACACTTTTCTGGGTCCCGTGGGCTGGTCTGACTGCTAGATGGGCCAGGGCAAGTGGAGAGAAGCCTGGCACAGGCTCTTGAAGGGGCAGCCCCTGCGGGGCTGATGGGAAGGCGAGATGCCGGCAGTAAGGCCAGGAAGGAGCTGAGGGCAGCACTGAGTCTGGACAGGAGGGTGTTCACTCGCTGCCCAACAGGCCCCCACCAGGGCACCCTACCTTGATCATCTGCGAGAGGTCGCCTGCGTCGGCCAGCTCCAGCACGATGTTCAGCTCATTGTCCTCGATGAACGAGTCCAGGTACTTGATGATATTCGGATGGTTCAGTTGCTGTGCAGGAGACAGAGAGATGGAGTCGAGCCAGCGGCAGGTGCACCAGGGGCGGACAGCCTGGTGACAGATGGACCAGTGGCAGGTGGAACCGGGAGGCAGGTGTGGGGCAAGGGCTGCACCCGGGGTCGGGAGACCTGGTGCGGGTGGGAAAGCTGCTTGTCACTTGTGCCTCTGGGTTCCTCACCTGAGAAAAGGCATGAGGCTTTACAGAGCAGCCAACGAGCAGGTGAACTGGGACCTTGGAAGTGTGACAGCCCCCACCAGAGCTAAGCAGGACCCAAAGGACCCTGCCACCTGTGTCCTCCCCAGATTCTACGAGGATGACTCAGATAATGATGACCACAACAAGGAGAAGCCTGGGGGCCGCCCCAGAGCCATGTGAGCCCCATTCATTCTTTCCTTCCCTGAGCAAGGCCCAGACTGACGCCACCCTCAGCCAGCCTCCAGGGGCCTGAGGTGGCCTCAGCTGTTGGCCACAGCTCATGCTGGCTCATCTGGGCTGACCCTGCTGGGTCCCAGCACCTCCTGTTGTCCGAGTCTGTGGCTCAGCAGGTGTCCATGCATCTCCAGGGGCCTGCCCCACCCTTGTAGCCCAGATCTGTCCCTCCGCCTCATCTCCAGCCGCTCCCCCGTCTGCCCAGACTGCCATGTGTCACTGAGGCCGACACACTTGGATTTTAAGTTCATTCTGGACTTAAATCAACCCCCCCAGGGCAAGGCCTGTGCCTCCATACCTGCCTGGGGGTCAGTGGGCTCCTGCCTGTGCCTGGCCCCTCAATCGAGGGAGAAGAGGTCACCACTGAGACAGGAGGGTACCACCCATGGGCCCCAGCACCACAGTTTCTCAAACAACTCTGAAAAGGTTAGCATGGAGTTGGGAGGCTTAAAGCTTTGATCAAGGAGGCCCAAGCCCCTGGGGCAGTTCAGGGAGGCTCCTCACCCTGACCTGGGCAGGTCTGAGGCCAGGAGGTTCAGCTCCCCTAAATACCCGGTCAGTCCACAAAGGCTCAGCAAAAGGGCCCCCTAGTCAACTGGGTCAAACCCCCAAGGCCCAGAGGGCTGGCTGCAGGCGCACAGGAAGCTGAGCCTTGGGGGCACAGCCGCCCCGTCACCTGCGGCCTTTGGTGAGTCCAGGAGGAGACACACTCAGGACAGGGGCATAGAAAGCTCTCCAAAGATGCCATGCAGTTGGGTTCTGTCTGGCTATGGAGGGAGGAATGGAAGGCCCAAGGAGTGGAGGGAGGTTGGAGGGAGGCCGGAGAGAGGGTGGGCGGGCCCACAGATGAAGGATCCTCTTTACTCTCAGAACTATGGCCCTGCTGAGCAAGATTGTGCGTGCTGATAATCTCTGCTCTTGGGAGGCTGAGGCAGAAGGATCATGAGTTCAAAGCCAGCAGGAGCTACATAGCAAGTTCAAGGCCAGCTTGAGCTCCAGAGTGAGACCCTGTTTCAAAGTCACAGCCTCTCCAGATAATAACCCATAACACATGTGTCCGTCTGTGGTCTGAATTCTGCACAGGTGGCACCTGTGTCCCGCTCTCAGTGGTGTTCAGCAGCCAGGCTGACAGATGCTATTCCCAGGCGTGGCAACCTCCCTGACCCTAAGCCCAACCCAACCCCAACCCCAACCTAACCTCAGCCGCCTGTGCGGCTTACCTTCAGGAGGCCGATCTCCTTGACGCAGTCCTGCCTGGCCTTGGCATCCATCATCTCAAAGATCTTGGGCAGGAGGAGGAGACAGAGTGGTTAAAAGCAGCCCCCGTGGGGCCCGGCTCTGCCCCTCCTCAGGGTGAGAGCAAGCATTCCCATCTGCCTGACACTGAGACCACTCCACGCTGCGGGAGTGATGTACCCAGCTCAGAGGAGGAGGCTGACGCCATAGCGTGCCCGTGACATTGGGTGTGGCACCGCTCTGGCTCCTCCCAGCACTGGACTTGCGGGTGTGGACCAAAGTGGGACACTGAAGCCCTGTCCTGGCCCCAGTGAAGCAAGACTGAGCCCAGGGAGTTGCTGGGAGCCACGGCACAGAAAATGGCCTTGGGCAGCACCCTGAAGCACCCGTGGGCGGCACAGAGCCACGGGGACAGCGAGTGGCCCTTGCCACCCCTCCCGTGACCTGATCTGATGGTCTGCACTGCCCCTGCCCAGCCTGTTCACCCCGCTCTGTAAGATGAAGGAATGAATTCAGGGGCCCAGGAGGCTCGGGGAACTCGACAGTGTTCCCAGCCTGACCCCCACTTAGCAGGGATGTGGAAGATGAAACCCCGGAGCCTGGGACCACGTGGTGAGTGCAACTGCAGGGCTGGTCAGACATGTCTGCATCCTGCTCTGCGGCTTGGGGAGGTGTTAAGTCTACACTGTCTTTCTCGCCTGGAAGACTGGACAATAATCCCTGCCCAGGGGCTGCAGTCAAGGATTCAGGAGCTCCCAGCTCACATCAGGTGCTCAAAGAATGCTCATGTTTTTCTTATTCTTTCTTTCTTTCTTTCTTTTTTTGATAAAGTCTTGCTACGCAGCCCAAGCTGGCCTCAAATTCACAGCACTCCTCCTGTCTCAGCCTCCTGCGGGCCAGGATTACTGCATGTGCCACCATGCCTGTTTTTTTTCTTTGCTTGTTTTGTTTTTTTTCTGGTTCATAATGAGCTTCCCTAAACCTGTGTCCTTCCCTAAACTGGTTCTTCCCACAGCCAGGGAGCTGCTTCTGACGTCCCAGTTCATGGAAGGTGGCGAGGGGAGGCATTCCCTCGAGGTAACTCTGACCCGTGGGGGTGAGGGCTCACCTGCACCTTCTTCAGAGCCACTGTCTTCCGATCCAGCAGGCAGGTGGCCTTGTAGACCTCACTGAACTGCCCTCGGCCTATCTTCTTCTCGATCTGGAAGTCGGCCAGAGAGCAGCGGAAAGACAGGGTGTTCGGGTGCCTCTGTGGGGGACAAGGGCACTGGTGACCAGCAGGCAAAATCGAGGGCCTGGGCCTGGACAGCTGGGGACCCCGAGGGCCCAGTGCCCCTCAACGGCATCCTCTAGGAGAAGGAGCCACTCTGCCTGCCACCAGGTATCGTGGCTTCCCTGGGGCTTTTCCCACCTCCTGCCTGAACCACAGGCAGTGCCAGGAGAAGCAGGGAAGCCACTTAGCTCCCACTTGGCCCGGGCCATTGACACCCTCTGGACCACCTGACAACTCCTCCCTGGGCTGGCCTGTGGGGCTCATTCCCAAATCCTTCACCCCAAGTTGGGCAGAGCCAGCAGCACGTGGGACAATGTCAGAGATGCAAGATGTAGCCCCACAGTCCCAACCCCCAGTTTCCATCCTGGGGCCACTGGTCCCCATCTCAGAGGGGAAACTGAGGCTCTGCAGCCTTTTACCCTGAGTTGTTCTTTAGGTAAGTGGCCCCCATCCAGGGACAGAAAGAAACAGAGACTTCCTGGTGAGTGCAGGGCCAGCAGGCCCTTCCAGGGCATAAGCAAAGCCCTCTCCGGAAGGCCTGGGCGGGAGAAGAGGAGAGAGACAAGGCTGTGCCTCTGTTGGTCCCCACTGCTGGTCAGCAAGGCAACCTGAGGCCCAGGGGGGCCAGTCCCGCTGGGGCACATGGCTCCATGCCATCTTCCCTGATGGTTCTGGGCAGAGCCCGCCCACCCTCCTGCCACATGAGGGATGTGACAAGGACAGAGGCAGACGTTGGGTTTCACTGGTCCCCTGCAGTGTGCAGCAACACATGTTAGCAGTGTGGGGTTGGGCAGGACAGAAACACCAAGCCCCCATCACGGACAACAGACAGTGGACACTAAGCCCCTTCCTCTTTCCTGTCTCCTCTTCTTTTTGAAGGCACTGCAGGGCCTTCACACTAAGCTAACGTCCTCAGCACCCCTCTTATCTTAAAAAAAAAAAAAAAAAAAAAAGACACTTCTGGGAGAACATGGCAGATAGATAACAGCAGCTACGGAGGCTCTCTGAGATGCCCAGCTTAGAATCCAGGAAAGATGCGGTGTCAGGAGTCCTAAGCAAGGGGAGATATACCCTGCTGACCCAGGAACAAACTAAGCTGAGAGAAACCAACTGGAAATGCAATCCTGGTGCTATAACCAGAACAGATAAAATCTCAGCGCTGAAGCTGGAACCCGAGCCTCGGGAAGCCACGATTTGAATTTCCTGCTGCTGCTGCTGCTGCTGCTGCTGCTGCTGCTGCTGCGTCTGAACCGGCATAGCAGGGACAGAGAGGCGAAACCTCTGAGAGCGGGAATCAGTGAATGGAGTTGATAGTGGGACTGGCGGGGAGCCCTGCATCTATCCCTGGTGAGTGAGAGGAACGGGGACCCTTTCATAGACTAGGGAGGCTCCAACAGAGGACATTCTGGGATGGGGCAGACTAGTCGGAACAGGACGCTGCAGTGACTTTAGTCCCATATTCTCCTCTCAAGCAGGATTGGTGTGGAACACTTGGCCTGGGTGACGCTGTGGACTAAGACCCAGTAGGCTAGCCCAAACCAGGTCCCAGTGCCTGAAGGTGCACCCTAGCAGTGAAGCCTCCAGTAGGTTGACTAACCTGGAGGGGCGAGCTCAGCATAGGCTGCCCAGGTCTGTGTCTCCCTAGTACACTGCAGTGGGCGGGAACACCTAGCCTGCGCAATTCAAACAAACTGTAACTGACAAAGAAAGAAACTGGGCCTCCTATATATGCTTGTATAAACGGAACAAAAAGTATGGAAAGAGGGAGCAACAAAAAAGGGTCCTCGGTCCCCAATCCTGAGAAACATGCAATATCAGACACGGCACCAATAGACATAAAGTGATATCTCCGGAGCCTCATAGACGAGTCCAAAACTGAAGTATTTAATGACCTAAAGCAAGATATAAGTAGAATACTTAGAGAAATGCTAAGCACCGCCCAAGAAAAAACAGATGGTGGAATGGAAGAACAGAAAAAAAAAGGAGAATTGTTTGATGGAGAAAATAGAGAAAACATAGAATCGTGAAGCAGGTTCAAAGAGATTATCAGGAAACTAAAAACTCTATCGAAAGCTGGCATAGCAGCTTGAAAGAAACTAAGGATAGATTATCTGAATTGGAGGACAGATTTGTAATGTGGGAGCATCAAATGAAAAACTTCTTAAAAATAACAAGAAAACAAACAGCAATAATACAAAGGCTTGAAGATGATAAGAGGATCTATAACTTAAGAACATAAAAGAAGAAGTAGGGACACAAACAAATGAACTACAAAGGCTATTCACAGAAATCATCCAGGAGAATTTCCCTAATTTAGCAAAAGGTAAAGATACTCAGATATATGAGGCATACAGGACCCCAGCCACCACAACCCAAACAGAACTATACCCAGGCATATAATAATCAAAATTCCAGAAATCCAATATAAGAACAGAATATTAAAAGTCGTCAGAGACAAGAAACAGATCACTTACAAGGGAACACCCATCAGAATTACAGCAGACTTCTCGGTACAAACCATCAAATCACGAAGAGCGTGGGGGGAAATAATTCAAGCTTTGAAAGACAATAACCTCCAGCCAAGATTGATATATCCTGCACAACTGTTCCTAGAAATTGATGGAAAAACAAGGTGCTTCCAGGATAAAGAGGAATTAGGGGAATTTGCAACCACCAATTCAACTCTACAGAGAATACTGCAGGACATTCTAAAAGAAAAATACCAAGATTCTAGAAAGAGTGACAGAGAGGCCACAATGAATGGAGCAGAAAACAAAATGAAGAAGACAAACTGACTAATGATAGAAAAAGAGCTCAACAGAAATGAGGCAGAGAAGGTTGGATAGTAGGAACAGCTATTTTGGAGAAAACAAGACATCATAATAGCTAGTGCTGATTTAATATCCTCTTGTTTTGAAGTCTCATCAAGCTTTTTTGCTCTTCTGTCTCCATCGCTCTTAACATGTTGTATCTTAGTGGATTTTATTATATGTGATAATATAAACAAAAACTTTTATGGACGAGGAGATTATACAGAAACCATTGTTCATTTTCTGTTGGTTGGTTCTAAATACCCTGTAATACTGTCATTCTCTTGAATGGTTTTACATTGTCTTGATATGTTTGATGCTACAGTATACGAAGTTATACTCAAAGATTTCAAGGAAAAAGACACTATGGTAACTACTTTTATGTCGGGCTATCTGGTGGTGAAACACTATTTTGCTTAAATGGTTATGTTTTGACCCATGCTATTTTGCTGTTATGTCCTCTTTTATCTCAATCTCCTTTCTTTATTATTTACTTTTTTATTTTTATCTTTTTAACTAAGGGAAAATAAAAAAATAGCAGGATATATTATAGTAACCCACTTTGATTTCCTATTAACTTGATTTGAAACCCTGTATTGCTCTCACCATCTTGTTTTGACTGATTTTCCTCTATTCTGTTTTGCTTGATACTAAGTTCGAAACTATAGGCAACAACTGTGAAGACAATAAGATTCACTTATGATGCCCATTCTGGTTTGAGTATTATCTTCTTTTGAAGTCCTGTAATGTCTCCAATGTTTTGGTTTTATTGGTTTTGTTCTTTACTGTTTTGTTCAATTTTATTATAACTGATGATATAGGCAATTCTTTTTAAGATAGCAAGAGGCATTATGGTAACCATTGTTGATCACCTTGTTTTTTGTTTTTACAGTATGTATTATGTCCATCCTTTTGACTTGACTGACTCTGTTTTGTTATGTCACATTTAGTTTTATTCTCTTCAAAAAAAGTAATAAGAACTGTGGGAGTAATAAAACCCAAAATGTCATTGTACAAAATAGAGAAAAAGTGCTCTAAAGTATATAACTGCATGTATATTTAAGTGTATAAGATAGATAACCATACTACTGAGTTTTGTTGGATCATTGAACGAACTGTTTGCAGTCTCACTGTTTGAATGTCCACTTTATATGCTTTAATTTTGTAATTTGAACAACTATTTCTAAGATGACAATATGTAATCTATTAACTAGTGATTTCCTACTGTTTTATTTTTTCTGAAATTCTGTATAACTTGTACCCTTTTACTGCTTTTTTTCTTTTTCTCCTTAAATAAAATTAAAAAAAAATTTTTTTTAAATTTTGAGACAAGAATCTTACTAAACCATGAAGTTCCCCAGGCTGGGCTTGAATTTACAATCCTCCTGCCTCAGCCTCTGAGAATGCTGGGATTACAGGCATGCACCACTATGCCCAGCCAAGTAGCTAAACTTTCTTAAAATGAACATGTAAGGGGCTGGGGATTTAGCTCAGCGGCATAAGCGCCTGCCTTGGAAGCAGGCAGTCATGAGTTCGATCCCCGGTACCAATAAAAAGGAAAAAGACAAAAAAAAAAAAAAATGTAGCTTTCAAATCTGGGCCTGAACCATCCAAAAAGATGGAAGACCCAGGTATTGGGTGGGTTCAGCAGCACTCTTCTCCCTACCCGGAGCAAGACATTTGGACCAAAGAGCCCTGGGAAGGGTGATCCTCCTCCCTCAGCCTCTCAGTTGGGATTACAGGTGTGCGCCCCCACTCTTGGTGTCATGAGTTCTTCTGTACCACGATTCCCCTCCGTATATATGAGCACTTGCCTAAGGAGAGCAAGCATAACAGGGCAGGCCCTGATCCACCCTGCCCGTTCCTCTGACCAGCCCTGTGAGTTCCACTGCAATCCCCACTTTGGGAAACTGAGCCTAAGCGGGGAGACAGTGACCTGCTCCAGATCTCTCAGCCTGTGACTGAGCCCTTAGGTGCCCAAGCCCTTGCACAGGGTGGCTCCCAAACTCAGGTCCTTCTCTACCTCCAGCCCCCTCATAGCCAGCTACCTTCTGTCCCACTGTGCTCCCTGAGCTCCTCTCTGCTTCCTCTGTGCCGACATTCAGTGCTCTGAGCATGTATGTTGATGACACTGTGGGATGTGTTCCAACAGCCTGGCATTCTGGA